CAACTAAGCTGCATGGTTTTGTAGGAGGTGCCTAATGCAATGCCTAAAAGAGTTAATTGCTCTAAGGATAAAGTTCTAGACTAGACATGAGTGCTATGTATCCTGTTTCAGTTGAACAAGCAGCATCTTGCTTGTAACTCAACAAGAAGAAAGTAATCTTGCTCTTGTGATTTAAATTATAATCATTGGCTTGGGTTAAGCTAGTAACTTATGAAGGCAGTGCTAAGTAGTCTGGTTTGATGTGTATGGGGAGATATTGCAATTTCTAGTACTTTCCCAGCTATGGGGCTACGCAAGTTGTTGTTGCATCTACTACAATTTCTTGTTTTACATCCAGATGACAATGGGTTAGAGAAGAAGATTTGGCCAAAGATTTGAAATTGCATTCGAAGCAACTCCGTCGTACTCTGAGATTTTTCGAAGAAGAAAAGCTTGTAACCCGCGATCATAGGAGAGAGGTCAGTGCCTAGTGAATTTTTTGCACTATAGTAAGAGTCTACATGTGCATGAAACCCGCCATGTGCAGCCAATTACATGAAAATCCACTCATATTACACCCCGTTAAATTCGTTTTCTTCACGTTTAGTTTTTCCATATTCTAAGTTGTCCTTGTAGCTTATTTTCAGATGGTTATGGAAAGGTGACATCTGCACGTTCTTTACTGTACAAGCCCCATCACCTCACCATCTCCTCTTCTCCATCCCCCCCTTACTGGTCCTTCTTCATTCGCACTTTCTGACTAATGATGAAATTATGTAATCATTAAAATCATTAATCTCATGGCTTTCATTTGTTGATTAGTGATGTTGAATGTTATCACAGACTGCAAGGGGTGCAAAGATGTATAGTGCTGCTGTGGCTGCCACCGCTGATGGTCAACATACTGGGAAGGGGGATGAAAAAGTTAAGCTGCATACCCATTCTTATTGTTGTTTGGATTACGCACAGGTTGTCATAATTTCCTCCTTAATATATTGTTTCTTTTGAATTTTTTTCCAACTTTCTAGTAGTGGCTTGTATAAGTTTGAGCTTCAGGAGGTAGAATAGACATAAGGTTAGCTTTATTTGTTTCAGATATATGATGTAGTTCGATACAGACTGCACCGAATGAAGAAAAAACTGAAGGACGAACTGGAAGATAAGAATACAGTTCAGGAGTATGTGTGTCCGAACTGTGGAAGTAAGTTTCTATCACTTGATCCCCCTTTTTTTTTAAAAAAATTTGAGGTCAAACATAGATCTCCTTGTTTTTTTTCATTGGGTCTGCTATCCTGAAAATGTAAGTATTTTCCTTTGTCTTATGTTTAAATATAATGCTCTGGATGCCTTGAGATTGGTGTCTTTGGAAAATGAATATTTTCACTGTGAAAACTGCAATGGAGAACTTGTTGCAGACAGTGATAAAATAGCTTCACAAGAAATAGGGGATGGAGATGACAATGCTCTCGGCGGCGGCGTGAGAAATTGGAGGATATGCTTCCAAATATGGAGGTCTTTTTCTACTATGGCTATTTTATATGTTTACTGGAGTACTTTAGTTCCTTTATATTGACTAGAGTGTCTGTCTCTATTAAAATTTAGTGTCCGATAAATGTTTAATCAATAAATAAACTGATGTTTTAAGTTAATGATGTTATTCTTTTATTTCTCTCTGCAATGTACTTTATCTATTGAGTGGGATACAATTCCTTACCATCCATACTTTATATTCTTGGCTTGACTATATTTGTGAATCCTTAAACCATAGAGGTGGCAGGGATCTACTTTGCCTAACCTTTTAATCTAAATTTCAATTCCATTTGTGTGCATAAACGGATGACATAATGCCTACTTCTCCTATTGAGTTGTTTCTTGTTTGAATTTCATTTAGTAATTGTTTTTGTATCTTACACCAATTGCTGATGTCTAGGTGCCAGGAGGTGCTGATGTCTACTCACCGGGATATTGTTAAGAAGTGACCGTAAGAGTTATATTATGGTAAAGGATATTAGTAACATACCCTGATCTTTATGATCTTTATAATTAATATTGTTTTCTTACCTTGTTACTATTCACTGATCTTTATGATCTTTATAATTAATATTGTTTTCTTACCTTGTTACTATTCACTGATCTTTATAGCGCCCTATATTTAAGGAAATACATAACAATTTATTCTTCCACATGGTCTAATTGCTCTAAGCTAAAAATTCTAAATTTTTTTACAGACCCTATTCGGCCTTTATTGCTGAAATAAGAAAAACCCTGAAAGGGATGGACCAGCCTTCATAGCCGGCCACAACCTCTCAGTTGCCAGCCACCACCTCTCAGCTGCCAATCACTAATCTAACCCAGACCGACCTTCATCGCTGGCGGTAACAGCAACAGAGCCATAAGTTGCGGCTCCCTTGCTGCAACCAGCTGTGCCTAGCCACTCCTAGCCATCCAGTTGCAAGCCACAAGCAGTGGCCCCCTCCTTGCACAGTTTGCTCCAATCATTTGGTCAACTAGCCGGAAGCTAGCCGCTCTAGTTTACCCTAACCATTGGTCTCCTCTGTTGTGCCCAACAACCCGTTTGCTAGCTAGCTCTAGTCATAGACAATCCAAAATAGCTGCTGCTTCCTTCAGTTGCTACTCCCAGCTGCAAGCCAGGTGCCTTCCAGCAGTCCCTTCGGTCAGACACACAAACGTGTGGCGGCCTCGTAAAATCTTTCATGTGATTTTTATTTTGCCTTAATTGTCATATAAATTTTAGATCATGTCGAAGGTTACATTGCAAGGTATAGATTATTTGGCTCATTCAGGTCTGTTTTCTATCTTCCATGGTTTAAATACCTCAGGTAATTTTTTTTGTATTATCATAGATTGTGGACTCAAAAGCTGTAGATAACATCAAACTCTGCTCAATTTTTTAGCACATCATGCCTCAGTAATAGGAAAATTGTTATTATTGAAGGTTCACCAACCATAGTAGCAGGATTAGAACCATAACACTCTGCCCTCACTTTACGCTTGCTAATGTGTTATATGTCCATAAATTGTGCATCAATCTAATATCAGTAACTAAGGTGTCCAAAAATCTCAAATTTAAAGTGATTTTTTCTTCCTCTCTTTGTGAATTTTAGGAGTAGAACTCGGGGAAGATGATTGGACATTCTGAGACTCGGAGCGGGTTATACTTCCCAAATTCATCTGAGACACCATGAACTGCCTTTTCGACCAGCACTCTTAATAAAATATGACTCTATCCCAGAAGATTAGGTCACCCTTCATTCTCTATTCTTAACGTTATATTTCTTTTTATGTTTTTGGACCCAATAATATAATTTTTCACTATGATTATGTAAATTGGAAAAACACAAACATGTCATCTTTTTCCTTAGTGATGAAAGAAGCAGTGTATTTAATTCACAGTGATATTTCAGAATCTCAAATATTCCTAATATTTATAGGACCTGTAGTTTGTTTCTTTTATTAATGATTGCACTATGATAACTTGACTTTTCTTGCTAAAATTCAAATATGAGATTAGTCATATTATTCCGTAATTTCACGATATAATTTTTTTTTGAAATAATAAGATGAAAAATATATTAAATCAGCACCAGAAAAAAGGGGTGTGACCCGTATACAATTTTACAACATAATTAAATCCAAAATTTGGAGTAAAAATCAAATGTTTTCGAATAGATAATGCCAATGACTACTTTAACCATATATTGTATTCATTCTTTCAAAAGGAAGGAATTGTTCGTGAGTCCTTCTATCTGTATACTCCACAACAAGATGGGGTAGCAAAAAGAAGAAATAGCAACTTGGTCACTATTACATGTGCCTCCTTCTTGTTGTAAAACCATGTACCCAAGCACTAATGGGGAGAGGCTGTTTAACCGCAATTTATCAACTGACTACCATCTAGAGTAGTAGACTTCCGCAATCCTATGGAAGTTCTAGCTACATTTTTCCTTGATGTTAGAGTCACTAATAACCTCATCCTTCGTGTATTTGGTATGTTACTTATGTTCATATACATAAGTCTCAAAGAGATAAACTTGACTCAGGGCCATCAAGTATGTTTTTATGGCATACTAGCCAAAATAGAAAAGATACAAATGTTTTTATTCATCTACAAAGTTTTATGTATCTGCTATTATTACCTTTGTCCGAGACCTAGTTCTTTTTTCATCTTCTTTATCTTTAGGGACAAAGTATACTAGAAAAAGATAACTCATTCTTTGATATTTCTCTGTTACTTTTTTTTTAATAAATAAAAGTGAAGTATTATTATGCACAAGGTATCAGGGGGGTACCACCCGAATATAAAATAGTTACATTTGAATCAAATGGTCAATGATAATGCCCATATCTTTCCCATTCTTTCTGTCATGACATAACAAAATAGAGACAAAAGTATGAATCCATCTATTTGTAAAGTGTACAAAGTTAGTCTTTACTCTCTCAAAAGCCGTTACATTTCTTTCCTTCCAAATCACCCATAAAATGGTAATTGGAATAAGAAATAAGTACCCATTTTCTTTATGTAAACCTGCCCAAGCACATAGCTCTTTATTTACACTGTCCATCATAACCCAATCCACCCCCATAAGCCTTAAAACAGAGGACCAAATGCTACAGGTCACTGGGCATCCCAGCAGCAGATGGTAACAAATTTCCTCGTCTGCTTTGCAGAAATAACATCTATTCATCAGCATATTACCTGTCCTCCTTAACATGTCAATTGTCAGGACACATTTTTTAGCCACCCCCCAAGCAAAAATGCTATTCTAGGGGGAGCTTTTGATTTTCATATTTGCTTGAAAGATGCTGTCATACTGTCATCGTTCTCTCTCATGAAAATTATAGAAAGACTTCACTGAGAATCCCCTCTTTTCATCAATCTTCCACACCCTTTTATCTTTATCCTCCGCTAATTTAACGTTCGATAAACACAGCAGCAAATTATCATACTCTTCTACTTCCCAATCCTGTAAGTTTCTTTTAACCTGAACATTTCAAGCCCTACCTCCCCCAACAGTCTCATAAGCCTTCTCCACCATAATCTTCTTATCTCTGGCGACATTCCCCCTTTACCGTTAAACACTACATGCTCTAAAACTATCATCCCACCAGAAAACTAGAGCCCACAGAATGAGCCTAAACTCAAGCCCTATAAATGACCCTGAACCTCAACATATACAAGACCCATGTTTTTTTAGGTGTCGTCGGGAAGGGAAAACTTGAACTTTGATCCTAAGCAAGTTTAAGGATCCAAACTAGGTGCTAGAAATGAGGTAAATGTTGAGAATCACCTTCCTGCTGATACTGATATGTTTGTTACTCTAAAAAAGAATGCACTAAGCATCCATTATACCACAATCCCAAATTTTTTCTCTTGAAAAATGTTCACCATTGCGCAAGAAACTTTTCATGTGTTTAAATGCAGTCTCTGTCCTTAAAATCATATGAGGCTTTGTAAGTAATGGACAAATGCTATGAGTATTTGACATGTAGATAATTAAAAAAATCAAACATTGGAAGTGGTAGACTTACCTAAGGAAAAGAGTGTTGTTGGGTTTACATAGGTGTTCACTATTGGGTACAAGCCTGAGGAACCATGGAGAGTTACAAGACAAGATTGGTGACAAAAAAGTATACCTAGATCTACAAGATTGACTATCAAGATATATTTGTACCTGTTGCAAATATAAAAACAGTATGTATCCTAGTGTGCTAAGTAGCTAACTGCAATTGGCAATTGTTATGGTTTGATGTAAAGAATGCATTTCTGCATAGAGAATTGGAAGAAATTTACATAAAAAATTTCCTTGGTTTTGTTAATGGAATAGGAACAGACAAGGAATGCAGACTGAAAAAACCATAGTATAGACTAAAAGAATCCCCTCTGACATGGTTTGAGATATTTGCAAAGGTAATGCTATTTACGGAGTACTAGCAAAGTTAGGAAGATCACACCTTGTTCATTAATCAAGGAGAGACATAACTCTTCTGGTATATGTGAATGATATAATTGTTATAGGAAATGATGAAGGAGAAAAGGTGGTTGTCAAGCAATGCCTAATTAGAGAGTTCGAGATTAAAGAATTGGTGAAATAAAAATATTTTCTTGGGATAGAGGTGACATACTCAAAGTTCGGAATGTTCACCTTACTTAAAAAAAAAAAAAA